TTGCTCGCAAATAAAGGCCTGTTTATGGGAGCAGTGGTTGTCGTTCCATTTTCCTTTAAAACTTCCATAATCTGTCATTTCAGCGCACTCCTCTTTTGCAGTATCGGGTGATCCAGTGATCCAGTTTTCAAATCCAAGTTCAGTTTCATCTACCCATTTAAATTTCCCACTTGATGTTCGGTCCCAACAAAGAGAACAAAGAGAAAAAAGGGTGAATATCGGCGTAAAACCTGCTCTAGATCAGATGCCTTCTTTTGAAATAAAAGGCAGAAAAGAAGTTTAATCTCACAGGCTTTGTCTTGTGTTGTTGGTACAATAACGAGGTATTTAATTTAATGAAGGCTTTTCGTGTTTGAGGATAGTGGGGTAGTGGGTCAAGGTGCCATCATTCGGTGTCAACAAGAGAGGATAAATCTTCTCTTATTTGTACCTATTCTGAGTTCTTCATGGTTCTTTCATTTGTCTTTCCTTTTTGTGATTGTTTATAACAAAGTATTGAATAATAAATCTAATATAAACATTATCGTTTAAAAATTGCTTACCCCACATGTTTTCTTCTCAGGCCAATCCAAAGGGTCTTTCCAGCGGCAAAGTTGTCGTAAATGAACTTTTGTTTCTTATCATCTTGAATTACGACGAGATCTCCGTGTAAAGTTTGACAAAGTTTTCTAGCTTGAGCCCAAGTTACACGCTCCTTGAAAAATTCAACACAACGACCCTGATATTTGAAACCTGAAACACAACCTGTTAAAGGATAAAAATAGTTCATTTGTATTTTCATTCCTTAGGGGTGTACTCAAAAATCGACAATTCTAAGTTAGTAATAATGATAATAATAATAGCTACAATAATGATGATAATAATAAAAGGAGAAAATAAAGAATATCAATTAAGTCAATATTGATAATAATAATAATAATAACAATAATAATAATAATAATAATAATAATAATAATAATAGAATGTGTTTGCGTGAATTCTAGCTCCTTTGGATAAGCGCCGGTCTGCCGAGCGGGAGGCCGCTGGTTCAAGTCTCGGCCGGACCAACACTCGGGGTCTTTAAATAACTGAGGAAAAGTGCTGCCTTTGTAAAGACATCTGCAAACGGTTAGACTTTCTAGTCTTCTCGGATAAGGACGATAAACCAGGGGCCCCGTCTCACAACCCTTGCATATATAAATTCTGTGGGACGTTAAAGAACCCACACACTGTTCGTAACTATCTCTCATGAGGAGAGGGACTGTTACAGGCCCGCAGTAATTGGCGTAATGCTGTTGCGGTGACCCAGCCAATAATTGGCGAATCTAATAAAATAAAATAAAATAACTTTTAACGATCTCAAAGTTTGAGCACTAACTGAACAAGAAAATATTGTTTCTTCAAAATTCTCTTTTCCACTGCACTGTCTGTCTATTTACGTGTATACGAGCGTGAAATTTACTTGCGTACGTTATCAGAGGCAATGTATAAAAAGTCGCACGTGAACGTAAAAGTTGAACCTCGCTCAACTTTTACGTTTACGCGCTTTTCTTCTTAGTTTTCTATTTTACTTTACAGGCGTACGCACGTAAAAATAACGTGGTCATGGAGATTTGAAAAAGTTTTGCCATTGTAGATTTTTCTTTCACGAACTACAAACGCAGATACAAACTGCGCCGACAAGGAAGATGTTCTCTGTTCGTATAAAGGATTGTGTGTTTTTCTTTTCAAGCTGGTTTTGTATACAGGCCTTCTTTGTGCCAGACTCTTTTCTTTTTACCGTTTTAAAGTAGTTATGACACGGGTACAAAACAAATGCAAAGCTGAAGTACCAACTTAAGATACCGCCATTCTCTCTGTACAGCTGAAATTCCAAACTTTCACAAGCTGTGTTAGGTTTTGTTTCTTTAAAACTTACAGCAGACGCTTGGTTTGCTCAAAGATTGACAAACTGTGCAAACAAATCCATCGTTTTTTGCCGAGGTGTAAACAAAATATGAAGATATCGACTTCTTCCTAAGTTGTGGCCACAAAGGTCTGACACGAGTCAAACCATTTAAAACTGTGCTTATTTCAGTATATCCTTTTTAGAGAAAGTCTATGGAAGGAACCCTAAATTAAGCATTTGCGAAAGATAAAAAAGCATTTTTAAACTGAAAAAGATTATTTAATCTAAATGTTGTTTTCTGTGAAAAGCTTTAGTTTGAGAGGCACACATTCTTACCAAATATTTTGAGACGCGTAGAGGCTATTTGGCCCTAGTGGCGCATCTAAGATGGAGGGATTATTTGTAAAAAATGTGAATCATTATGAAAAATATGAACTCAAACGCAATATTAATGATATTGATTAAATATTGTACCTCCAGAATCAGACATGCACCGCACGGAAACCTGCAAAGTAGAAAAAGGGAACTGAGGAAAATACCCGCGCTAAAAACTATATAATTTACGACCAATAGTGGTTATCTCAGATTTTGCTTATAAATGCTTTATATATGCCACAAGCCTACCTCAATATAAAAGCCAAGCACAAATGGCAAAATTTTCAGTACATGGCGCCCGTGAGATGAAATAGCCATGGTGCTGCCACCATATGCGTCACAATTTTCGAGAAATTATATATTTTTTGTTTTTTTGAGATTCGTTTTGTCCTTAAAACTGCAGGTGCATGTATTCACGAACAATCGTATTTGACACCAATATTGACTTAAGTAGTCTGAGGAATATACAGTTAAATGTTTATTTTTCATTTGTGGGCTACGAAAAGAGTGTTGATTCATTGCTAATTTCAATCTGCATTTGTACCCTGGAAAGTCACGGATAAAATACTTTGATTTATCAAAATTACCAGTTTAAAATTCTCTAGCTCTAAAAGGTGCATCAACTGTTTCACTGAGAAAGAAAAATTCTACTCGTTATTTGAAGGACTTACAACCGGCCTTGTGTAAAAATAGCAAACGAATGAATTAGTAATTATACAGAAAGTTAATGACGCTCTCGAAGCGCAGATTGGTGAAATCAATCGCAGTAGAGCAGTCGGGACGTGATGAAAAAATGTTATCTGAAAAATCATGATGTAACTTTTCTTGACTGAATATTTTTTGAGTTCAGGGGATGGGTCAAAAAGTTTTGCCTCACAATCCATTGCTTAATATAAATTATCATTACCCCGGGTTTTACAGCGCCATTATGGTTTAAGCAAGACAATGATCGAAAAATTGAAATTTCAGAAGCGACTTATGGAACGCTTTTAGTCACGTGGCCATCAGCTATGACATCTTATTGACATAAGAAAAAAATGTGGACTTCCACATGGTTGCCTTGGTACGCCAACATGGCCCCGAGTTTATTGTATTCGTCACATCAGTATGGCCGCAGTGAAGTCACAAGGAAACACTCTATCTTCTATATTTTGTTTTCTCTTCATTTTTAGTTTGGCTGTGCATTAGTGTATATGCTGAGGTTTATATCATTATCATATATTACCATACCCAAAAACGAAAGAAAACAAAATTTAAACCAAGGGATAAAATTGAATTACAACCGATACTAATACGACCACACCACGCAGTGAACTTTGCTTTCAGATAGTTACAGAAAAAAAACCTAGTTCTTTTAGAAGAAACAAGATCATTACTCTTGTGGAACTGGCATTTTTTAATTGAATTTCTTTTTTCTTTATGTCGCTTTACAATATTTCTCGACTACTTTATCTATTCTCTTCTGTTTTATTGAAATCCTTGAACGAGCGGGAGCTGATTTCTTCTGCATTTTCCTGTACTATCTCGTCACTTCGTATTCCAACAACTCTTGTCACTGTGTATTTCTTTCTTTCTTTCGCTGCCGGGATAATGGCCTGCAACAAAAAAAAAAACTGATGATATGGATTTCAACCAACAAATATTCAGCAAACTATAATTTTAACCTACTAGGCACATTGTGACATTATAGCAGTTCACGTTGTTCTTCAGACAATCAAACCTTGCCGTAAAACATCTCCGCTGTTGTGTCGTTATTTGTAATAGCTGTCGTAATTTGTGATAAAAAAGTTGTCGTAAACTAAATTTGTAACAACAATTCCTCGTAATTTGTAATAAGCAAAGCTGTCCTAATTTGTAATAACTTTGTGGTGATTTGTAATAAACTTTAATCAAACGATGTGACTGGTAAAAATAATTCCAAATTTATGATTCATTTTTACCTGGCCATGGTTTATTATTTACAATAGGCGCCGGCAGGGTCCACGCCTCAGGGTAGTGCTGTGTTAGAAGTACGTAGAATAATTTTGAGCAAAAAATGCTCCAATGCCTGGCTGAAGTTGAAGAAGAGTGGATATGGTCATGTGGTTTACCGTTGTTCACATTTTTTTTGGAAAAAAGTAGCACATTTAACGTAAAACAATGTTGAGTCGCAGAAAATTGACTTGTTTTCCTTAACAAATCTGTCATGCCCTACTGAAGTTAATTAATTGGAATTTGTTTAGTTGTGGTAAATCTTCATTGGCCTTTTTGCAATTTTTCGCGTGCCTTTTACTTTCGCGTCTTCCCCACTCTCTGAGAGCCTGGAACAGGCTAGAATTATCACTGTTGTTTCAGTATTTTATTTCGATAAATTTTGATCACTTTCAAAATAAGTCCTAGTTTTAGTAGTTTAAGTCAGTATCTCATTTTTTTTTTCTTTATCCACTGAAAAACAATTAAATTTAACCCAGTTTTTCTATGATTCCACTTAATATGCATTCAGGTTCGGTCAAGAGAGGATAAAGGGGATAGAGAAGGCATCCCCCATACACACCCTATTCCATTGGTAATTCGTCTCGAGTTATTTTTAGAATCGAGATCAAGTTACCTCGCGCGCTGCGTGGATGTTTCGTGGAGTTTCGCATGACGAAACGCCTGCAAAACATGTCGGGCGACAGGCAATGAAAGCGTAAAGAGATCGAGAGCATTTCTGAATATTGAAGCGAAATGAGTCGGCGCTCACCTGGAAAAAGGGAATCCCTGGACTCTTTGACAACCCGTGAAATCAGTTTAACTCGAAGTTGTCGTAACCTCGTGCTTTAATAAAATGAGAAATTTCGCCGGTCTATTGAAACCGGTCGTATGTATAATAAAGCAAGTGGGACGCCAAGTGTTGTTTTTGTTGAATAATAAAAGATAATAAAAGAATAAATATCAAACCAGAAATTGCTCTCTTCAAACTGTAAATTATAAATGATCCTGAGAGAAAATTCAGTGTGTTAAGGATTTCCCTGCTGTACTGTTAGCTCTATACAAGAGAGGAAGGGCGATTCTTTTTAATTTCCGTTTCGCTGACACAGCTTTAGCAGAAATCTCTCTTTAGCCGTTTTCGTCGACAAAACAAATAGCAATATCGCTCTCCGCGTCTTCCACCATTTTTTTCTGCGTCAATTCGTGACGGACGCGTGGCTCTGAGCGTGGGTCATCCACGCGGAACACATTCGCGCTACGTGGTTGGCTGTTGGCTAATCCCCCTTGGGATCTAGGGTCTTAAAAATAACTCGAAACGAATTACCTATGGAATAGGGTGTGTATGGGGGATGCCTTCTCTGTCCCCTTTATCCTCTCTTGGGTTCGGTGTCTTATCAGTCTTTTGCAGTAGGGATTTGGCAATAACACCGTCTTCAACACCCTCCCCCCCCGGTTTGAATGTTTACATGAAGGAATATGTAAGTTATAAGAAGCAAACACCGACAGAGGAGCGCAGTTGGGCCAAAATTTTTCCACCCTTCCATCCAACAGCATAAAAGACAAATTGGGGATTTATTTAATTACTCTTATTAAAAATTATCATCATTATTGTTATTATGACCATAACTGTCATTAACTCACTAACTTAACTAATATCATCACCATAGTATGGCATACTAGAATTTAAAAGGTTGTCCTAATTACTGCTCACTGTTGTAAACTTGCACTAAAATCAACAGGAGTCTGATATAGCTCGCTCAGATCACCCTTTCTCGTTTTTCATATTAAAATTTTTATGTCAAAAAGTTAACCGTTTTTTTGCAAAAGAGTTCAAATCAACCTTGTACTGCCCCCTTGATGATCAAAAACCGCTCGAAGAACAAGCCGTGATTGAAAAGTTTAAACAATGCTTATTAGTATAAATTACGAGAAAGCTATTACAAATTACGTCAGCTTTGCTTATTACAAATTACGACAAAGTGTTGTTACAAATTACGACAGCTTTTTTTATTACAAATTACGACGAAGTTTTTACAAATTGCGAACGTATTCCAAATTAAGACAAAACTAGAAATACGTTTTCGCAAAAATCTCGCGAAGCTAACTGGGTCAGCAGTGAGAATAAACAGTAAAACGCCAAAGGGTAAAATTATTAGTGGAGCTCTCGCGCGCGAAGCGCGCCCAGCAGAGCACCATGGGTAAGAAAATGTGGTAAACTACCCATCCGCGAAAATTTGGTAATCGCGTGACCGTACACCGACCGCCCGCCCGCTCGACTGTCCGTCGGCACCACAGGCATACCAATGTAAGACAACTCAATCAACAGGTGTGGCAACCCAAACACAACTCAAGGTTATTTTGACGGGAAGTCGCATAGCTACTCTCGTCTTGTGCAGCAGAGACAACAATGAATACGAAAACAGAAAGCGGAAATTGTCTCTGTATCTGTGTTTTTTAAAATATTAAGCTTAGATTAATTGTCATGTCCACAAATTTGGAATGTAGAGCAAGAGAAAGACTGCGAAAAAGAGAAAGTGGGCGGCAGGCCAGCGAAGCTCAACGAGAAAAATTGCGACAGAGATATGGAGCGAGAGATAAAAAACAAAGGAGACATTTCTTTGTTGAAATAACAACATGAAAATTTTGTAGCGGCCGTAACAAAGTGACACAAATGTCCAGTGCTGGCCACAAGATCCCTACTTTCCTTTTTCATCCTTAGTTCCACACTTATCAGAGGTGTGGAAGTGTGGAAAAGTCTTACAAAGTAAGGATATTGTCGCACTTTTCCCCCAGTCATGAACCCTTTGTCATTCTTTACTTAGTTCTACACTTCTCAGAGGTGTGGAAGTGTGGAAAAGTCTTACAAAGTAAGGATATTGTCGCACTTTTCCCCAAGTCATGAACCCCTTGTCATTCTTTACTAAGTTCCACACTTCTCAGAGGTGTGGAAGTGTGGAAAAGTCTTACAAAGTAAGGATATTGTCGCACTTTTCCCCAAGTCATGAACCCCTTGTCATTCTTTACTAAGTTCCACACTTCTCAGAGGTGTGGAAGTGTGGAAAAGTCTGACAAAGTAAGGATATTTTCGCACTTTCCCCCAGTCATGAACCCTTTGTCATTCTTTACTTAGTTCCGCGCTTCTCAGAGGAAAGTTCGCGTCTTATGTAAGACGCTTCTTATTTTTCCTCGTATAAATGGTCCTATTGTTTTTCACCGTTCTCCGGCGTTGCCTTCACCGCTTAGCATTACACGATTTTATATTTTGTTTGAGTAAACTATAAATATTATCGAGAGCTTCGCTGTTAGCCTTGGCTAAATCTATATTTTACAAATTACCACAAGTATTTCAAATTTACGACAGAACATCCGCAGTATAAAGACAGCTCTTACGAACGCGTAGCAGCGCCATTGAGCTCACGGAAATGGCGCTATATAAATTCTTGTATTATCTTGTATTATTTTTCGCTGTGTCAGCTGAGACTAGACTTACAAGTTAAACCAAGAGATGATACATCATCCACTTTTGATCTATAATAAACCTAATGCTATACCAGATGTGAAATAGAGTCCACAGTCCGTTTTTGTTTGAATTCTGACATACCTTGTTGATAAATACATTCTTCCTTGTCTTCAGCTTTATTGCATTCCTAACCTGAAATACAAAAATTGATGCCAAAATTAACATTGTAAAGCCAAGCTCGCGCTTAATATATAATTCGTCGACTTGTCCTTATTTACAAACATTCATACTGATAGTATAAGCAATTATTGAATAAGAATGAGTACAGTATTATAGAAAGAATTATGCAGATAGAGGAGTAGTGTGTTATCTGTTAAAGCCGAAGGCATAGGGGAATAACACCCTCCTAGATCTGTGCAATCATGTCATACGAAAGCAGAATATATTTCCAATAATTGTACAAAATATTTCCATCTTCAACAAAACATAAGGGCTGCCTCGATGTATATTATGTTCCCGTTTACCTAGCCGTTTGCACGTTCCTTGTTTCTCCCGGCATAAAGGGCAATAGCTGCAGGTGTCATTCGTTGAGTGGTATTTTCGTTAAATATTCCTGCTATGTTGGGTTTAGGGAGTAGTTTGGTCACCTCTTTGTGTAACGCGTAAAATCCCCCGCAATATTCTCCAGCTTTCCCTAAACGGCTGAACTACTTTACCACGCCATCTACTGTCCCTTTCCCTCTGTCGATATCAGTACAATTGACGTCAATTGTATTGATATCGGCAAGCATCTTCGAAAATTTGGTCAAAGGTAGCTGGTTATAAAGAATTAACTGGGTGATTTAAGCAAATCATAAACATAGAAATATTTTGAATGAGTCATAGTTATTATGACCATCAGATAATAATCTTTCGATTTGAACTTCTCACCTGGGCATCCAAAATGCAGTGAAAGATGCAAAACACGATGCCCTGTGCCATAGAAATAATATAATAAAAAGCTTCATGTAGTTTTTATATACTCTAAGAAACTTTTAAAGTTACATCATCCTTGAAAAACAAGCGATTTCCGAACCTCAGTATAAAAATTCAGTCACATCGACTATAAACTGGCTTATTTACTTGAGAGGGCAGTTCACTTAATAGTAAGCTGAACACGGTCCTTTTATATTCCGTTTTGGACCCTTATAAGTGAAGCTGATGAGTTAAAATACCGAGTTCTCCTATTTTACTAACCTCCTTTTAATTTGTACTAAAATGGCCTTGTGGACCAGGAGCCTATGAACTCCTGTTTTAGACTAAATTTGGCAGTTCGTGAGAGTTTGCTTATCTTTTCTTTTTTTATAAAATTTTCTATACGAGGCATGTAACAAGTAAATCAAACCTCTAAAGTAAAGCACAATAAGAAGTAAAGCAAACCTGAGTTGAAGTCAAGAGAATGAAGATATAGTCCAGTGCCTCATCAATGTTAACAAGTAGCCCAAATATCCACGTGATACCCAATAAAGGAAGCAAAGCCGCTACACTCTTAAGTCCTTTTCTGTGATTAGACAAAATTTCTCATTTTCACCAACTAGAATTTATAAGGTAAATCCTACTTATGTTTTTGTTTAACGTTTCATAGACCGTAAGGATATTACTAAGAGTTTCATAAAAAGTAATTGGTAAAACTAATTAACAATGGAGGACATAGTATTTAAGGTACAGGGGCCCGTTTCTCGAAAGTCTCGATAATTAACGGGCCCGGTAAGCTGTCTCCGTTTACATTAAAGATTGACGTTTCAATAGTTTTGCATCTAACATGATATAACTATCAGTTAATGAAACAAAATGGAGTAGTTTGCTAGCCAGGACCGGCGCTCTTATTCTTTACATTTCGATTTGAATGTTTGATTTCGGGCCCGAAAAGTTACCGGAACTTTCGAGAAACGGGCCCCTGGTCGGTTTATACTCTTTTAAAAATGTCACTACAGCAGTTCTCAAACAAAGTCATTGAATACTAACCTTGTTCTTGTTATTGCATCTCTGTGGTGTCTCGAGTCTAGTTTGCCAGACACGACTTTGAGCAACATAACAAAGATAACTGTGTTAACCTTTAAAAGACAAGAAACACAAAGAGGATATCTTTGCTGGGTTTAAAAACGGAGTAGATAACGTCCAGAATAGAAATACTTTAAAACATNTTGAAGTCAAGAGAATGAAGATATAGTCCAGTGCCTCATCAATGTTAACAAGTAGCCCAAATATCCACGTGATACCCAATAAAGGAAGCAAAGCCGCTACACTCTTAAGTCCTTTTCTGTGATTAGACAAAATTTCTCATTTTCACCAACTAGAATTTATAAGGTAAATCCCACTTATGTTTTTGTTTAACGTTTCATAGACCGTAAGGATATTACTAAGAGTTTCATAAAAAGTAATTGGTAAAACTAATTAACAATGGAGGACATAGTATTTAAGGTACAGGGGCCCGTTTCTCGAAAGTCCCGAAAATTAACGGGCCCGGTAAGCTGTCTCCGTTTACATTAAAGATTGACGTTTCAATAGTTTTGCATCTAACATGATATAACTATCAGTTAATGAAACAAAATGGAGTAGTTTGCTAGCCAGGACCGGCGCTCTTATTCTTTACATTTCGATTTGAATGTTTGATTTCGGGCCCGAAAAGTTACCGGAACTTTCGAGAAACGGGCCCCTGGTCCGTTTATACTCTTTTAAAAATGTCACTACAGCAGTTCTCAAACAAAGTCATTGAATACTAACCTTGTTCTTGTTATTGCATCTCTGTGGTGTCTCGAGTCTAGTTTGCCAGACACGACTTTGAGCAACATAACAAAGATAACTGTGTTAACCTTTAAAAGACAAGAAACACAAAGAGGATATCTTTGCTGGGTTTAAAAACGGAGTAGATAACGTCCAGAATAGAAATACTTTAAAACATTCTTACCTCGCGCACATAACTATTTTAAAAGCAAAAAACTGTTCATACCAGAAGTATACCCATAACAGGTCCTGTGTAAAGCCACTTGCTTCCGTTCAACCAACAACTAAAAAAGTTATGATATAATGACAATTATTATTATTCATTCAAAACATTTATCCGTTCTGATTGGCTGACTGATCCCCCGCTAGTTCTTCATATTCCAACGCATAGTGCTGACCAAATTTGGAAGACGTTTGCGATACCCGGTAAAATGACGTCAATAGTACAGGCTATCACCAGAAAAAGGGACGGCAACTGGGAAGCCCTGTAGACGAGGTTGTGTCAGCTCAGTTGATTTTGAAAAATTTCGCGCTTTGTGAAGAAGAAATAGCCAAACCCCCAGCCTAAAAACATGGCAAGAATAGCAAAAATACAACTCGACAGATGAAAACTACTATGTGCCAGACTAAACATCCCTTTACATCATAAATTTTCATGCCGAGGAACAGACAAATGAAGACGGCAACTTTACGTCGATCAAGAAAAACATGTCTTCCAAAGCTGGGTATGACGAACAGAAGCCGGGAGATTTTAGCCAATCAGAAAAGGAGAAATATTTGGAAAGAATAAGTTAGTAAATCTATGGCAAATGTACTAAATCTATAATGAAAGCTACTGCTGACAGTGTCTTTAGGGATTTTTTGTATGCGTTGATCAATTTTAAGTTCAACTTAACATATTTTTCTTTCAAGAGTGCTAATCCAAGCGGAGATAAACGTTTTATCCCCATATATTAATATCGTCAATAGGGAAAAATAACCGGCCTTGCCTTGTTCTATTGACAGTTGAGGTAAACTTCTGTGATCCACACATGAAGTCCTCGAAGATGATCTGATTCATGTCATACGTCTGTGGTCTTGCTGCCGCTGTTATGGCGACAATAGCAGCTGGAATGCCTGATATAAGGTCAATGTTAAAAGGAAATAAAGATTCATCAGAGAATTTATTAATTCTTGTAATAAACCCTTCCTTATTAGTTAATATACATTGAAATATATGAAATAAGTCATATTTTGAACTGCGGATAAAGATATGAATGAAAGTGAACATGATCCTTGCAGTTGAATGATCATATTCGCTTCTAGCGCGAGCGAGCGAAAGCTCGACTTGTTTCCCTTGCAGCGAATCACATCAAGTGACGTCATTTTGGCGCGAACTTCTCATGATGCTGCATGCAGCGCTGCCTGTCAAACTGTCAAAATACTTTTCGCACCTAGCGAAATCGATCAATGGTTTGGTTTTAAATGGAATGGAGGAGGAAAACACACCAACTAAAACTTTTATTCGGGTTGTTGTGCCGGAAGACATTTGCCTTCAATGTGGCAAACTGATGGACAATCCAGCGTTACGAAGAAAGCTATTTTCAGGGAAACAGAAGACAAAAACGTGTCAAAGTCTGGAGCTTCTTCTTGGAGATGTGTTTCCGCGAGACAACGACTTGGGAACTATTTGCCGAAACTGCTCGGAACGCAACGAAACGCTGACAAAGAAAATTTTTCAAGTTAGGGCTAACTTTTCTGGACCAAAAGAAAGTCTAGGAAATAATTTGCAAATTTGCATCTTAGAACGAGCCGTAACACAATAGATGCTTTTGTTATTTTAAATGATATGTAAATTTTCAGGTGACCTTGTATTCTGTAGTCTTGCAAATGTATATCGCAAACAATAACGAATCAATCGCTCACCATTTTGCAATGCAGTGACTTTCATCGACAAAAACAGCCTTAAGGTTTTTCCTGAGTTTGCCGTGAAAAATACTTCGGTGGCTATTTAAGAGAGCTTCGGGGCTTCCAAATACCAGCGAGTATTCTCCTTCCGAAATTTCTTTTACTTGTTCCCTCGTGCAGTCTGCTCCAACTGAAGCAGCCGATACCCCTCGGGCAACTAAAGAGGTAACTTCGTCCTTCATAAGGGCGACCAGTGGCACAACAACTAAGCAGACAGAACACACTTCCAGTCTTTCGCCGTGCTCTAAATAGTCGAAAACATAGGGAGCAACTTCGAAAGTCAAGCTTTTTCCTGATCCTGTTGGCGCCGAAAGAAATACGTCTTTTCCACTGCAGTAACCCTCGATTACTTTCCTTTGATGTTCACGAACATCTTTGTACTGTGCTTTTCGCAACCCATAAGCGATTGCGTCCTTGACTGAACGCATCGTACAACCAGCTGAAAATTTAAGTTTTAGTAAAAGCCTCTACATAAACAAACAGCGAAGAAAAACACTCGAAGCAAATTTTACTTTCACCCAGACAGGTTTCATGTTTCAAGATCTTGCGCGCGTGATCTGTTTGATTGACATGCGGTTTGATAAGGCTGCTTCTGATTGGATAACATTACAGGAGGAAAATTCCTCCTGTAAATTTGGCGCGCTGCAAGGGATAAAAGTCGTTCGTGCCGGGTCCTACCACACCAGACCAGAAAACCAAGCGAACGACTTTGAGAAAGTCTAATTCGCTTCATAAAATTAACTGTATGTTTAAAAATGTAAGTGTAATGTGGCACGATCGACAATCTGCCCAGAATAATCAAAACGGTCTGTGATAGTACCCCGGAAGAGCACGAGTTAAAATTCCATCGCCGTTCAGTATTTTTTCCCTGCCCTTCTTTGGGTCATACATGCCATGTATGAACATTTGGAAACAATGTTGCTTTTCTTTGGCCTAGGTGCTTAATTTTTTAATTACTTTTGTTTATTAGGAGTCCTAAGTTGTTGCAGCTTACCCCATCCAATAGAAAGATACGCCATGTAGAATGTCTAAGTCGATATCACTTTGACCAGTTTCATGAAAAGACTTACTGCTTCAACCAACATCCACGTGAAGACTGCTGTTTGAAAGAAGTGGCGGATCACGGCAACAACTGAGCACAGAGCCTGTTGATTGAAACAAGCAATTAAAAAAAGACCTGAATTTCTCATTCGTTGCAGGGTTGAACAGTATTTTCACCAGTTCGTTTGATTTTTGATTCCCCCTACTTTATAACAGTAACGTGTGGATGCAGTGACACGCTAAGGGTTGCTAATTTGCTTGTATTCATGAATTGGTGGTTCAGGTAAGAAAATAAATTGTTGTGATTTAGTTTACAAAAATCTACGATTGAGATTCTCTAGAAAAAAAGACCACTTTGATGATGGATTCCATACATTTTTATGGAGCGTTTCTCCTTCAATATTTTCCGCTTTAATTTCAAGTTATTCTCTAAGCAATAACAAGTATTTTGTAAGTCAGAGACGTTTAGTTTGTTGATTCCTGGGTTATTTTAAACGTTTGTTATTTTCGAAAAAATGATGTGTATTTGATGTCCTCAACACGACTGACTTAATACGGACACTGCCCATTGTCCCTTAAGTGTCCATATTAATGGTATTATGCGTTAACAAGTGGTTTGTTCACTGAGGAACCCAGGTACCCTGCGTTACTTACAGTCCTTCGATAAATGCTCTCAAAAGCAGCTACATCCACAATGTAAACGGCGTACCCAATACCCCAAGAAAGAAGAAAATTTTTATGGATAAAGAGCTTCTCGCTGGACTGTATTGAGTGTTGTCTGTAGAGAAAAAAAGGGATGCTTATCTCCAGTCATTTCTTACAATGCAACACGAACAAAGACTGCCAGATGAATCTTTGGCAATAAACTTATATAACATTCTATCGTTTACCTGATGCATGACAAGAAAATCAGCGACAAAACTATTGCCACGAGTGATACAGATATTAAACTCAATTCAACAAGTTTCCTTCTTTTCTCGTGTCTCTCTCTTTTTCCAGAATCGATTCTTCTGACTGTTATTGTCCTGTTTCCCTGCAAAAGTAGTAAGTGTAGTCAGATCTACGATCCCTTATACTATTAAGTGATCCCTGACCTTTTCCGTCACCCGGGAGTGGCCCTATAGTGATCACCATCCATTTGATAACAATAACAATTTAATCGTTTCTTAAAAATTGAATCGCATAAAAAACAGTTCTGCTAACACGGTTATTTTATCAGCCAGTTGAGTTTTGTTTTATATGCGTCATTACAGAATCGTAATACTAGATATGAAATATTCATCAATTCAAAAAAACAAGCCAAGGAAGTGAACAAAAACTACTGATTTAAGTTTTAAGGCCTATTTTTATTCATAATGGCATCATAATATATCTGCAAGAATCATTCAGAATTTAGCCTATTCCAGGAGTTTTTAGAGAGCGGCGCGAAATAGAGAACGGAGGGAAACAAGCGGAAAAAAGGAAAAGGATACAAAAAGGAGAGAAAGGAAGATCTCCTTCGCCCTCTTTTCCTATCCACACCCCTTTAACTGGTTTTGTTTTCCTTGCTCACATTTCTTTCCAACGCTCGCAAACATATGTCCGTTGCCTCCCGTGCCATTCTTTCAAGTTTCTTTGAAGAACAGTGCACTCTCGCCAGTCACTCGTTTCGCGCTCGCCTCTGCCATGCGAAAAACGAAGCGCCTGAGGAGGAGGCTGGCCCACAATACCTTTCGAGATTGTCGCGTGTACTTTTTCCGACAACCTTTCTCGAAATAGCTGTACACATACCTCGTGATATGACGTTACCAAGCAGTCACTAGAGTTAACGTTGTTTACGATCTAAAAATGCAAATGAAAATTTAAATTTAATATAGATTATTCAGGGGTACCTGTCAAAATTGCCGCGCAATGGCTGGATTTTCACATTTCCTTTTACTTATCAGAAGCCTCAATTCGTAGTACCCGTAAAATTCCGGTGAAGCAAATAGATCGCTGCTGTCGTTCTATAGCTTATAACGTGGAAACCACAGTCGCGAATGACGAATGCTTTGTCATTAGACAGCGGCTTAAAACGTGAAGTTTGCCACCTTCACAGGAGTAGAGTACAAGCTGATCGCTTGGCTTAGTCCATCATAAGATGTCATAAGTCGTTCATTCATTAAGGTAACCGACCGTGGTCCAAACTATCTCTCTGGGCTCTGTAAAAGCTAATGTACCAGTCATTGTCTAGAGAGTAACCGATAAAAAATCGATTAAGACTAACGAAGTCCAAAACGGATCATCGTGCCCATGACGATAGTAAATGGGCAGAAAATATAAGTATACCTCTTAATAGCTGCAGCCAGTCTGAGCCAAATGTCGGCAAATAGTGTTAGAAGGCTAACTAGGCTTTGCTGTTTGTAACTTCCTCATCCCACAACAGACCGACTCTTAAATCCGGAGAGTTTTTCATTAACATTATCGTTGCTTGTCTATCTTTGAGCCACATAAAGGTATCATCTCGCAATATTTTCTAGCCAGTACAGTCTGGTTCTCGAAAATCTCGTTTTTTAACTTAAAAGCCTTATGTTCAAATCAAAATCTATCTGAGAATAGCCGGGCAGGTTCATTGATTGTGTAAAGCAGCTAATGTCGTTGAAGTGTTCGATGGAGTTTATTGATTGTTTGAAGAACAAGCACTTTTTTGTGTCGAAACCATTTGGCTGTTACCCTGGCTGGATCCAGAAGTCCGTTCTCGAAATAACTAGGATGAAATAAACCTTGCTTACGGTTTGAAAAAGCTCAGCCGAGACGAGGCTTCGAGAACTATCAGAGAGGAGGAAAGAAAGAAAACCCTCTGGCATCCAGGGAAGGTATTTGGCTGTAAACAGTTTGACTACTAACCTGTGTTAAGTTTCCCTCGGAATGGTTTATATCCACAACTGTTATACCACTCTTAGGTTTACACTTAGTTCCACCAATTGATGATATAACTACACCTGCTTCGAGTCCTGTGGACCTACTTTTAATACAATAAGAATAAATAACTAAATAACACCGAGACCAATACAAATTGTTAGTAGAATATTGCGAAAATTGCATACCAACGTATTTATTATATTTCATTAAATTATCATTAACATGGTCTATTGTTATTAAGAATTAATTAATATATTTAGTCGTTCATTAATTAAAATATCTAGCTGGATTTGAAAACGTTACCCCTAAAGTGGACCAATCCCGTCAAGCCTTTTTTTTCTCCACTGACTATCTCCAGTCTCTCCAGTGAAGCCATTGTTTTTTTTCTCTTCTCCTCCTTTCTTTTATTCTCGCCCTTCCTGTTTTTCCTTGCCCTTTTTTTTGCTGGTGCGGGCTTCTCGGACGCAATTAAACCATGCCATTTGTCCTTTTCCTCACTCAAATGACTTTAAATGTTGCTGGACACTTTGAAAAATTTGGCTAGATATTTATTTTGCGTCATTTTTGATCAACGTTTTTAAAAAATTCATAGATGAAATCAAGATATCGTAGAAATTGTCAGTACAAATTTAACTGAAATATAATTGCGTTAAACTTACTCAACTTCCTGGCAAAATTTGTTCTTAAAGTGTACTTCTCTGTTTTCTCTCTCATCTAAGTCTGTAGGACCCCAAAGCTTAAACGAAACCAAAAAGTGCTTTTTCTTGTGTGCATTATGTTATTTTTGTGAGGCTGTCCCCTCATATTTAGCTGATGAATTTGTTTCAATTTGTCCCTTAAGGTCATAAAACGAGAAACCCCAAGATGGCCAGGCAGGAAGTGTCAAGAAAACATAATAATTTGCAAAAATATTATGCTTGAAATTTAAATAGAAGCTCTCCCTGATCAACATGAATTATAAAGCTTTCCTTCGAAAACATGATTTTAACCTTTACATTTCGTTTGATATTTACGGGCGTACTTGGAAGAATGAACTAACCCCCTGAAATAATTTTGAGGATTTTCAGAGCCCCTGGTCATCAGCTGTCTGTTTCTTCCTTACTGACACTATCAACCTCGTTCCCAGGGTTCTCTCTGTTGTTACGAGAAGGAACCCTGGTTACAGCTGGTCACGTGGAAATGTGTGTCAATAAATTGCGAAGCACGAGTAGGTCCTCAAATAGATTTTGTCGACTGGAATTGTATAATGGACGATGGAATACCATCTGGGGTAAGGAAAAAATTCTTCCTTCAAAATGGCCCTTGAGTTTCTAAGTTGCGTGCATGCTGGGTGACTTTCGGCTACTTACGATAACATTATTTCGAAGGAAAATTAGGTCATTTGTTTAGAGAGTTTGTAAGTGAAAAAAGATTTGCTCGCCATCCTGCCAACAGGATACTAAAAATCTTGCTCGATTTGTACGTGCAACTCAGCTTTTACGGTAAATTTGCATACTCCGCAGGTGCAGTTCACGCAAAGGAAAAGATAATGCAAAGGTCAGGTTTACATGAATAACACAATAATCTTTAAAAAGATTATTACGTTATTTTCTGCTTTGGTTAATTTATCGGTTGGTGCACGATGTACCTTTTCCTCATTAGCATACAACTTAACTCATAGAAGCCGTGGCCGTATGTATATGAACTAAATTCAAAAGTTGAAAGAGCTGATTAAGTTGAGCAATTTGGGTAATTTTCAGCTCTTTGCAAGCAATATTAAAGGAAATATCAGCCATCAAAAACTGCGAAATTGTCGTGTGGCAAAAAAGTAAGTGAGCCATATACATTCTCTGTAAAATTTCGACTTTTTAGAAGAGAATTTCTCCGAAACCATTCGGTGTAATGGGCTCAACTTTTCAGAGATAACTGAAACTGTTATGCCCTCTCAATATTCATAGTTGCTTTTAAATTAGCGTCATCAGATAGTGATAAGCATATGTTAATGAGGCAAAAGGTGTAAAGAAATATTCGCCTATAGCCAACTTCTTTCTCAGCGTTCTCTCTCTTCTATTACGCAATACTATTTCTTCGGGTGTTGTTGACCTTTTCAAATACCCGTACCATTAGCTGATAATAAACGAGGCGACAAACTCCTCTCGGGCACCGACAGAGTAACTTTGGTGACAGCGACAATTATTTACTCTTCTTCCCCTCCCTTATTTTTGGCCCCCCAGATTTTGGGAGCCACGTGACCAGCCGCAACCAGGGTTCTTTCTCGAAGCAAGAGAGAGAACCATGGGAACGACGCTGAGACAAACGCTGCTTAAGGCTTTTTGTA